AAAAAGGAGCACAAATAGCCAAAATGCTCAGCAAAAGGAACAAAACAGAAAATATCACACTTTACACTTTATACTTTATTACAAGGCTACCAGAACAGCCTAGTATTGGGACAGGAATAGGTATATATGGAACCAATGGAACAGGACAGAGATTCCAGAAGCAAAAACTTGGATTCTCAACCAAATCATCTTCAACAAAGTCACCAATAACTAACAATGGGGAAAGGAGACCATATTTAGCAAACATTGCTGGGAAAGCTGGCTGACCACACATAGAAGAATGAAACTGGATCCCTACCTAACACCATATACAAAAATCAACTCAAAATGGATCAAAGACCTAAACATAAAACCTCAAACTATAATAATTCTAGAGGCAAACATAGAAAACACCCTTATGAACACCGGCATAGGCAACAAATTCATCACCAAGTCCCCAAAAGTGAATGCCATAAAAGCTAATAGGACAAACAGGACCTCATCAGACTGAAAAACTTTTACACAGCAAAAGAAGACATCAAGAAAGTAAAAAAACAACCCACAGAATTGGGAAAAAATATTTGCAAATTATGTATCTGACAAAGGCCTAACACCCAAGATTACAAGAATTTCAAACAACGTGAAAGGATAAATCAACCCAATTAAAAAGTGGGCAAAGGATATGAACAGGCACTTCTGAAAAGAAAACATGCAGGTAGCCAACAGACACATGAAAAATTGCTCAGCCTCACTAATCATCAGAGAAATGCAAATCAAAACTACAATGAGTTACCACCTAACTCTCGTAAGGATGGCTATCATTAATAAGTCAAAAGACAACAGACGCTGGCGCAGGTACAGAGAAAAGGGAAATGCTGCTATATTGTTGGTGGGAGAGGAGGCTAGTTCAACCTCTATGGAAAACAGTGTGGCAACTCCTGAAAGAACTAAAAATTGGCCTTCCACACAATCTAGCAATCTCCCTCCTGGGAATATACCTGAAGGAACATAAATCATTCTACAAAAAAGATACCTGCAAACACATGTTTATTGCTACACTATTCACAATAGCAAAAATACGGAGCCAACACATTGAAAGTGAACTGGATAAGGAAAATGTAGTACATATACATGATGAAGTATTACACAGCCATAAAGAAGAATAAAATCATGGGCTTTGCAGCAAATTGGATGAAGTTGGAGACCATAATACTAAGTGAAATATCACAGAAACAAAGGACTGAATGCCACACGTTTTCACTCATCAATTGGCCCTGAACATTAGTCACGTCAGTACTAGCACAAGGGAGGGACTGGCAATCACTAGGCACTGCTAAGGGAGCAAAAAAGGATGGTAGGGGGCATATGACAACACAAAGGGCAACTAACTAATCCACTACCAAGGGGAGTGAAGACCAGTTAGAAGGCCAAACCTCACCTGTATGCAACTATTTACGTAGTTAGTCCTCACTTGTACCCCACATCTATAAAATAAAATAAATTAAAAAAATAAAATCTGATAAACCTATATCAATAAGACTAAGAAAAAAGAGAAAAGATACAATTGTATTTGTATACCATTACCAGGAATGTGAACAAAGTTTGTACAGATCATGCAGACACCAAAATGATAAGGTAATATTATATACTACTTTATGCCAGTATCATTGAAAATGTAGACAAATTGGACAATTTTGAGGGGGAAAAAAATCTTGCCAAAACTGACACAAGAAGAAATTTAAATAGCCCTATAACTCTTAAAGAAATTGAATCATTGAAAAATATTTTTTTCCATTAAAAAAACTCTTAAGTCTGAGATGGGCTCGGTGGCTCAGCCTGTAATCCCAGCACTTTGGTAGGCTGAGGCAAGTGGATTGTCTGTGCCCATGGGTTTGAGACCAGCCGGGCAACTTGGCAAGACCTCATCTCTACAATAAATCCAAAATTAGCTGGGTACAGTAGCGCGTGCCTGTAGTTCTGGCTACTTGGAAGACTGAGGCGGAAGGATCGCCAGCACCCAGCAGCTCAACGCTGGGGTGGCCGTGAGTGTGCCACTGCACTCCAACCTAGGCGACAGAGTGAAACTCCAACTCAAAAAACAAACAGGGAAAAAAAAAAAAAAGAAAATTCGGAGTCTGGTTGTTCACACCAGCAAATCCTGCCAGCTGTTTAAGAAAGAAATAATGTCAAATTTAGACAAACTCTTCCAGGGAATGAAAAAAGTACATTTCTTGTCATTTTATGAAGCTTGTCTGATATGAAAACCTGACATGGGAAATATAGAAAAGGAAAATTAAAGGCCACTGTCACTCATGAACATGAGTGTAAAATTTACAAATAATATATTAGCCATCTAAATCTAGCAATATATTAAAAAATTTATTACAGCTAAATTGTATTCATTTTAAGATGCAAAGTTAGTCTAACAATAGATATTGTAACTTGTCATGATAGCAGATGAAAGGAAAAACTCACTTCCATAGGTTCTGAAAAAGCATTTTTAAAACTCCTTCCAAGGTTAAAAATGAAAACACAATTTTTACCCAATATAGAAATAAAAGGAAAATGCTGTAATCCAATAAAGGATAGCTAATTTAAAACTTATAGCTATCCTATTACACTTAATAGTGAAATGTAGAAAAACTTTTGTTTTGAGATTGGAAACACAGTAAAGATGCCCATTGTCACCATACTTCTATTCAAATTGAACTGGTGGTCCTGGAAAGTAGATTCATTCAAGAAAAAGAAATAAAAGGCAGCCGGGCTCAGTGGCTCAGCGTGTAATCCCGCGCCTTTGGGAGGCTGAGGTGAGTGGATTGCCTGAGCCCGCGGGTTCAAGACCCGCCTGGGCAGGCGAGACCTCATCTCTACAATAAAATCAAAAAATTAGCCGGGCGTGGTAGCGCACGCCTGTAATTCTGGCTACTCGGAAGGCTGAGGCGGAAGAATCGCTGGAGCCCAGCAGGTCAAGGCTGCGGTGGCCGGGAGTGGCCACTGCACTCCAGTCTGGGCGACAGAGTGAGACTCCAACTCAAAAAATAAATAAATAAATAAATAAATAAATAAAAGGCATAAATATTAAAAAGAAAGAACAAGACTAATAAATTGTAGATAATATTGTTGTACATAGAAAATTCCAGAAAAAACTAGATAAAATTATTACAAATAACAAGAATTTAGGAAGATTGACTTATTAAAAATAACTAACAAAAACCAATGGTATTTCTATAATCTAGCAAGGTGAGAAGATGAAATTTATAAAAAGAAACATTATCCAGTGGCCTCAAAAATATCAAGTGCCTAGTAATACAACAAAATAAGTATAAGAACTCTGTACATAAAACATTATTGAGAGAAAATAAAACTAAAAAATGTTGTACCATGTTCAGATTGGAAGACTCAATATTGCAAAGATGTGACTGTTTCCTAAACTGACCTGTATAGATCAGTGCAATCTCAATTAAAATCCCAACAGATTTTTATTGGGAACTTTGCTAAGCTGATTCTAAAATTTAAATGGAAACTCAAAGGGCCAAGTTTAGCCAAGATACTCTCAAAAAAGACCTAAGTAGAAGGACTTGCTCTGTCATATATCGGAATTTATTATAGAGCTGAGGTGACTCAGACAATGTGATACTGGCAAAGATTTGACAAATGGACCAATAGAAGGAGAGTAGAATACTCAAAAATAGAGCAGCTAGGATACTTGACTATGACAGAAGTGACTTTAGAGAGCAGTGGATAAAGGATGAACTTTCTAGTAAGAGGTGCTGGGACAGTGAGGTATCCATATGGGGGAAAACAATTGAATTGCACTCTAACTCAAAGTATTTACCAAAAAAGGACTATATGTGAAAGGAAAACTAATAAAAAGTTTTTAAAAGGTAATACCATAAAGGAAGAGATTGATAAGTTCAAAAACATCAGCTACATTAAGTAACTTGAAACTGGAGAGACAAACTTTCAGATGGGATGGGATATTAATAACACATATATCCATAAAAGATTCATATTATTAATATATGAATATTTAAAATGCCCGAAAATCAATTTTAAAAGGATAGGCAATGAGTACCTCACAAAAGAAAACACTCAGTTCTTCTATTATCGTGAAAAGGACAACCTCGTTTGTAACTTGGGAAATACAAGTCAAAACTACAATGAATACCAATATGCACTCACCAGATTGACTAAAATTAAAATGTCTGACTAAGTGTAAATCTGGGTGTGGAGGAATGAGAATTCTCATATACTATTGGTGGTAATATAATTTGGAACGCATGAGCCCTTGTGTACCAGGAAATGTGTAAATGAATGTTCATAGCAGTGAGTAAAGGATGGACTTTCCAATAAGAGGTACTGGGACAGTGAGGTATCCATATGGGGGAAAAAATTGAATTCACTCTAACTCAAAGTATTTACACATACTAAATATCTAATTACACATTTAGATATTGCATTGTATGTGTAATAGCCCCAAACTGGAAACAACCCATCCATCAGCTGTAGAAGTGGTAAACAAATGGTGTATATTCATACAATGAAACCTGTACATTAAAGAAAATTTTATTGTTACATGTGGTAACATGGTTGAATCATAATGACACTGAGCAAAAAAAGTGAGACAAAACTAAATGATAGTGTCTAGGGATGCATCCTTAATGGCAAAAGGACAAAGAAAAGCAAGGAAATAATTTCCATAAAAATCAGGGTAGAAGTTACCTTTTGAGAGGAGATAGGCAGTTATGATTGGGAATAGGCCCATGGGGACTTCGGGAGTGTTGGCAGTATTCAAATCCTAATGTGGATTGTGGACATGTGGATATTTGGGGGTATTTATTAACCTGTACATTTATGATTTAATCTCTTTTCTGTATGAAGAAAATTTTTTCTAGAGAAAATGTTGTAAAGTATTCATGTGATGATACAACTAGGCCAAGAAGAACAAAAATATACAATGATCTTTAAAGGAGTGTTTCTATAGTGAACCAACCTTTAATCTAGTGTGTTTTACCTAACAGGGCTGTAAAGTGAGGGACCACATGGTTGCACTTCGTGATCAAGGTGAAGGTGGAGATTTGCTGTCCTGTCCAACTACTAGAATACTGGATGATCTGCTCAAGCACAAAGATGTCATTGTTGTACCTTTTTCAAAAGATACAGTTAGGTGAGGGGGAAAGAAAACAATACTGTATTGTAGCTTTATTCAGCAATTTCCATTTCAGAATCCCCCAAATCAGTAATGTCAGTCCTCAAATAGTTTACATTATTTTGGAAAGCTTAACTTAAATTATATGTTAGCTTACAATAGGAGCAAGCAGATATTTAATAGTCAAAACACTTAAAAATATTGGCGGTCCAAGGGGAGGAAAAATTAATGAAGAATGTCCTTGGTGAGTAAAAAGTTTATGACCTTAAATTCCGTTTTGGGGAATGTTGTGGTATTTTTCCTCAAGATTGCATAAATTCTTCTTAAATGCTTGATTGACACAACTAGAAAAAACTCGATGGTTGAGTTAATCTTTCCATAAGTTTTAACTCCTTGAATTAAGTAATTTTCAAAGTCACTTCCATCATTTTGCAGTTGCTTGTTAGGTTGGGGGCTGGAGGACCCTTTAAAAGAGGCTGTCCTCAAAACAGTACCAGTCATACATAACAGCTCATTCCATTCCATAGCAGCCAATGATGCTCCTTTTATGGGGTGACTTTTGCTAGGGAACTCACTAGATCAGGAGTCCCCAAGCTCCAGGACATGGACCAGTACTGGTCCATGGCCTGTTAAGAACTGGGCCACACAGCAGGAGGTGAGCAGTGGGTGGGTAGAACTCTGCCTCCTGACAAATTAGCAGCAGCATTAAATTCTCATAGGAGCATGTCCCCTATTGTGAATTGCGCATACAAAGGATTTAGGTTGCACACTCCTTAATAGAATCTAATGCCTGATGATCCCCCACCCCCAATCTAGTCCATGGAAAAATTGTCTTCCTTGAAACTGGTCTCTGAAGCCAGAAATGTTGGGACAACTGCATTCAATGAATTAAGAAAGGTAAAAGTGGCCAGGCGCGATGGCTCAAGCCTGTAATCCTGGCACTTTGGGAGGCTGAGGGGAGAGGATTGACTGAGCCCAGGGTTTTAATACCAGCCTGGGCAACTTGGTGAGACCTCGTCTCTACAATATATAAAAAATTATAGGCATGGTGTAGCGCACACCTGTAGTTCCAGCTACTTGAAGGGCTAAGGCAGAAGAACCGCCTGAGCCCAGCAGGTCAACGCTGGGGTCTCCATGAGCGTGTACTGTACTCCAGCCTGGACGACAGAGTGAGACTCTCAAAAAAAAAAAAAAGGTATAAATGTTAAGGTGGCATCCTTCTACTTGAGAGTTGTACTGTGTTTCTTGAATGATTTATAAAATATTTGCAATAAAAAGGTATAATTCACATTTAAATTAAGAAAGTGAACACTTCTCCATAAAAATGTCTTTTTCTTTCAAGTGATATTGGAGTTGGTCCCTGTGATGAAAAGGGCCTGGAATGTGATGTTTTACTGGAGCCAAATACACCATGGGGCCCCAAAACTGGAGAGCTCAATGCTGTAAGTAGTTTATTTCACTTATTCTTTACTTATATAAATAATTAATGATAGTCTTTGATAGGAACCCAGTCAGTTTAAATTTAAATTGGACTGACTACCTAATCATACATAACAAGCTATTATGCTGAGTTAATAGGACTATAAGGGTTATAGGAAGCATTTCTTGCCCTCAGAGAATGAATAGCTAGCTGATAGATTTAAATTCAGAGAAAAAAATGTAACATGGTCTTTAGAGTTTTCTTTTAAAACTGTGAGGTACAATTCAGGGTTAGATATATAAATATTCATTGTGCAGTTACCCTTGTTGATGAGGTGTGCCACCCTACCCCAGGTAGAGTTTTATTATGGACAAATAATGACTTGAAGAATGAAAATAGTATGAATGGATATTTTGTACCTTCATTTATAAACATTTTTTGTTATGAAATTTTTTTATTATAGTCAAGAATGTGTTTTATTTTTTCAAAAGCTTCAAAACTGAAATATTTTTAAGATAATCAGAAAGCTTTAACTTATTTGACTCCTTTTGATTCTTTTGACTTTGTTACTAAAGGTCTAGGGAATCTGTTTGCTTGTGAATTTTCTTTCTGTTGATTGAGGAAGGATTTACTTGAGAAAGTGAAATATTCCACACAAAGTACTTTATAAACTCCAAACAGCTATACAAATATTCAATCATTAACATTTGTTTATAAATTATATGTTAGCAAATTAGATTCCTTCCTTCTTTCCTTCCTTTCTTTTCTTGTTGGAGTCTCACTCTGTTGCCCAGACTGGAGTGCAATGGCAAGTTCATGGTCACTGCAGCCTCTATCTGCTGTGCTCAGGTGATCCTTCGGCCTCTGTCTTCCAAGTAGCTGGAACTACAAGCATGCACCACCATGCCCAGCTAATTTTTTTAATTTATTGTAGAGATGAGGTCTTACCAAGTTGCTCAGGCTGATCTCAAACCCATGGGCTCAGACAGTCCTTACTCTTTGGCCTCCCAAAGTGCTGGGATTATAGGCGTGAGCCACCACGCCCAGGCCTCAATTTAGATTTCTTAATGTCCATATATAATCTGCTTCCTTAATTCATAATAAAATATAAATATTTTTAAAGTGATTGAAATAGTTTTTAAATAACTAAAATTATACTGTCTTTACATATGATTGGCTTGTCCTTTGCAAATGATACTGGAAAGGTGTCCTTTTTTTTAAGCATCCATCCTTTTCTAACAGAGAATATTAAAGACTACAATATATCGCTTTTGGCCTGAGTTTTAAATCATGTTTCAACCTGGAAGGGAACTATACTTGTAACTTATTTCAGGTCTTCTACAATATCCATATGAAAATAAAGAGCTGCAATCTGGATAGATTCAGCTTTTTTTTTTTTTTAATTTTAAAGATGTGGGATACTATTCAGGACTAGGTATACAAGTGGTATTCATACAGGTAAAGTTGGGCCTCCCTTTGCTTCCCCTGGTTTGAGATCGGGTACTCTCATTGATGTTATGTGCCTTCCCCTTCTCCCCCCATCCCCTAGCAATTTCTGGCTACGCCAATCCCTTCCTTATAGCATTATGGTAAATGTTCAGGGCCTGCTTATGAGCAAGAACATGTGATACTCAGTTCTTTGTGTCTGTGATAATAGACTCTAAATCCATCCAAGTGATGCAGCTTTATTAATTTCTTATTCTGTCTTATAGTTCTTGTCACTGAAAAACTGGACTCTGCAACTGGTGAGTGAGCAATTATATTTGACTTTCATGGATCTCTTTCTTCCTAAATCAAAGGTTAATTTAATAGAATCTTATCAGTATCTTATTTTATACATTTTAGTATATCTTCCTCTTTAGCGTCTTCAATTTTGCACTTACTGAAAATGCCATTAGATTGTTTAAGATAGATACATACTCCATTATCTGGCTGCATAATATATAGGTATGGTTAAAAGACCTTTTTTTTTCAAGCAGAGTTTATTTAGAATGTAAGTTAGAGAGAGAGAGAAGATTCACCTGTCCAAGGTAGAAGAGGAGGCCAGAGCCAAGAAACATGGTGGCCATAGCTCAAAGAGCCACATGGATATACCAGAGTTTAACAAAGCAATAGCCTAAAAGACTTTTTAAAGTCATTTTAATTCACATTTAGAACATCGAACAAAGCAAAAAAATTATTAAGTTTGAATTATTTGGTTGTTTGGTTGATTTTTTTTTTTTTTTAATCTGTTTGCCATTACTATGCCATCTGCTATCAGTATTCACATGCATGGAAAGGAATTGGAATTAGTGATGACAGACAGGAGGGCTAATAGATTAAGGAAATGAATGCAGATATGGCCAAGTAAGCTTGGGCCACATTCACCCAGAGAATGGACACATGAGCTTTTTAGTGAGATGACTTTAATATTGGCCATTTTTACTATAAGAAAATGACTGACAGTGGTGGGAAACTATGGGAGGGGAAAGGAAGGGAGATGGGATTAACGGTAGTAAATATCTGTCTGGGGATGGGGAGACACCTCTTATCAACAAGGGTGCCTGAACGAAGCATATTTGTATACCTAACCCTTAACTGTACCCCACAATATTATAATAAAAAATATTGATATTAAAAAAAATTAATATTGGCCATTTTTGTATTATAATTTAATCTTTTTTTTTTTTTAAGTGAAGTCTCACTCTGTCGCCCAGGCTGAAGTGCAGTGGTATACTCATGGCCACCCCAGTGTTAACCTGCTGGGCTCCGGCGATCCTTTTGCCTCAGCCTTCCAAGTAGCCAGAGGTACAGGTGTGCATTACCACATCCGGCTAATTTTTATTTATTGTAGAGACAAGGTCTCGCTAAGTTGCCCAGACTGGTCTCGAACCCACGGGCTCAGGCAATCCACACACCTCGGCCTCTCGAAGTACTGGAATTATAGGCTGAGCCACCAAGCCCAACCTGTAACTTAATCTTAATATCAAGGAACATACATTTGAATGGTAGAGGTACAATTCAACAAATACTGATTACCTATTTTGTGCCCATCACTGCACTAGGTTCTATGAAGGAAATAAATAAAAAATAATTTAATGTAATCCTGTCTTGAATGTAGAAATTGTTATACTCATTTCATAGATGTTTTGCTAGGGAGTGGTCATTTTATGAGCTCTTATTTCACCCATTCAACCAAAATAAATTTGGACAAATGTGTTTGAAAGAATTCATTAGAGATGTGATATTACATTTTTAATAAATGTGTTTTTTTTTAAATTTAGAAACAACAGTCATTATTTTCAGAAGAAGAAGAATACACCACTGGATCTGAGGTCACTGAAGATGAAGTTGGAGATGAAGAAGAAGTATCCAAGAAACAAAGTATTGTTTTCTAAGTTAAAATCAGCTCTCATTGTTTATGAAGGGATTGCATTCTGGAGCCTTTAATGCTTTATATCTTTAATGCTTTATATATTTGCATGCTTTATATATCTACATGTTCTGTATGTCTACATGGTAGTTTACAAAATAGGAAGAAAATAAGTGAAGGAGGTACCGTCAAGATTCCCTAACTTTGGCATCAATACAGGATACTTATAAAGAAAGCGCAGTGTACTGAGAAATAATCCTCCAGGTTTTCACTTAAGGCATAACCTAATGTGTTCTCAAAATATGTGACTCACATCAGATGCAATGTGATCTAAGATGTGTGCCTGAAATGATTTGGAGTGATACTCAAATGAACCATTAAATAACTCATCAAAATATGGGTTTTTTAAAAAAAAACTAAAAGTATTATTATACAACTATAAAATTAACTTGTTTCAAAATTCTTCAACTCATTTGTTCTAAGAAACAGCAGAGAAAATTGGTTCAAAGAGCCTTTGAAGATGCAATTATTTATTGACATTTGAAAAAAGAATGTTAAAAGAAGATTGCAAGTTAAGTTTAAAACTGATTAATGTCCTACAAGGCCATAAACCCATAACTTTGGGGGCTATCTTTTCTACTAGACAGAAATCATTTGTATTTCTATTAGACATAAAAATCTGCAAGTTAACATGTAACTTCATAGCATCTGGACTTTAATCAGTAGTAGATAGCAGTCAGACACAAGGACACTGTCTTAGAGAATTAAATAATTCTTGGGTGGGCCTTTTAAACAGTCTTCCATTGTGTCTTCCCTCCAAGTTTACATAGTTTTTCTTTTTTTTTGAGTTGGAGTCTCACTCTGTCCCCCAGACTGCAGTGCAGTGGCCGCTCCCGGCCACTGCAGCCTTGACCTGCTAGGCTCCGGCGATCCTTCCGCCTCAACCTTCCAGGTAGCTGGAACTACAGGCACGCGCTACCACGCCCAGCTAATTTTTTGATTTATTGTGAAGATGAGGTCTCACCAAGTTGCCCAGATGGGTCTCGAACTCTCGGGCTCAGGCAATCATTCACCTCGGCCTCCCAAAGCGCGGGATCACAGGCTGAGCCACCGAGCCCAGCTTACATAGTTTTTCTTAACATACTGAATCCTCTAATGAAAAAAATAGTTTTTTAGCAGTTGTCATCCAGTCTTAATTAGTCAAGGAGAAAGTGCTACTTCGTTGTGTTGGGTTTTTTTCAGCAGTTTGATTGAGGTATATACTTGTATTAAAATTCATTCATTTTAAGTGTACTCACTGATGAATTTGTAACCACTACCAAAATCAAAATCTAGAACATGGTTCCAAAAAGTTTCCTTGTGTTCCTTCATATTCAGTTTCTTTCACCCCTTCTACTAGGAGGCAACCATTAATTTGTGTTTTATCACTGTAGTTTACCTTTTCTAAGATTTCATATGAATGGAATTATGAATTGTATTTTGCTCTGGGCTTCTTTCACTTAGTATGATGTTCTGAGATTCATCCATATTGTTGCAGGTATTAGTTTTTCCTTTTTACAGCAGAGTAATATTCCATTTATGTTTATACCATCATTTGTTTATCCATTCACAATTTCATGGACATTTGGGTTGTTTCTACTCATTGGCTGTTATGAATAACATGTACATATGTATATAAGTATGTGTGTGTATATATAAGTCTGTGTACACATCTGTATGTACAACATATGTGTACAAGTCTATGTGGACAAATGTTTTCATTTCAGGGGATAAATACTTAGGAGTAGATTGTTGGGTCATATGGTAAATGTATGTTTTTCTCTTTAAGAAATTCTTAAATTGTTTTGCAAAGTAACTGTTTTGCATCTCTGCCAGCAAGGTATCAGAGTTCCAGTTATTATTGCACATTCATAGCAGTACTTGTATTATCAGTCTTTTTAATCTTAGCCATTTTAGTGGGTATATAGTGTTAAGCATCTTTTCATGTGCTTTCTTGGCCATTTGTACATCTTTTTTTGTGAGGTGTTTGTTGAAATCTCTGCTCATTTTTATTGGATCATTTGCCTTAGTTTTGAATTGTAAGTTTTTTTAATGTATACTTTAGATACAAGTCTTTTGTCATATGTTTTACAAATATTTCCCCCCAGGTTGTGACTTGCCTTTTAATTTTCTTAATGGTGTCTTTTGAAGAGCAAAGTTCTTTAATTTTATGAACTCTAATTTTCTAGTTTCTTCTTCTGTGTTTTTTTAATAGCTAAGAAATCTTTGCCTCTCTAAAGATTTTGTGCTGTTTTCTCTTAGAAACTGTATAATTTTGGCTTTTATATTTTCATGTATTTTTTAAGTATGTGATCTCATCCAGGATAATTTTTGTATATTGTATGACTTAATGGTCAAGCTTCCTTTTCTTTACAATAGGCATAGCCAGTTGTTCCAGCACCATTTATTGAAAAAACTGGTACTTGGATTAGCTTGGCACCTTTGTTTAAATCAATTAACCATTTACATGTGGAACTACTTGTGAACTCTTTGTTGTCTTCCATTGATTCTCATGTCTATCTTTATATCAGTATAGCTATACCACAATGTCTTAATTTTTGTAGATTTTAGTGAGCCTTGAAATCTGGTAGTATGAGTCCTCCAAACTTGTTCTTTTGTTTTAAATTTTTTTGGCCTTTCAAGGTACTTTGCATCTCCTTTTATTTTAGAGTCAGTGTGGAAATTTTGTGATTATGTGTCAGTGTCTAGTTCTGTCACCCAGGCTAGAGTGCAATGGCACAATCACGGCTTACTGCAGCCTAGAACTTCTAGGCTCAAGCAGTCATCCTGCCTCAGCCTTTCAAGTAGCTAGGACTACAGGTTTACACCACCACCCTCAACTAATTTTTATCTTTTTATTTTTTGTAAAGACAGGGTTTCACTATGTTGCCCAGGCTGGTTTTAACTTCTAGCTTCAAGGGATCCTTCTGCCTTGACCTACCAAAGAGCTAGTATTACAGGTGTGAGCCATCATGCCCAGCCTCAGTGTAGATATTTCTATAAATATCTTGCTGGGATTATTATTGGGATTGTGTTGAACCCATATATCAATGTGGAGTGAATTTTTCCCCCAAAGTCAAGTCTTCCAAACCATGAACACACAATATCTCCATTTATTTAAGTCTTCTACAATGTTTTGTAGTTTCAGTTTACAGAAGCTGAATGTATTTTGTTAATTTATTCCTAAGTATTTTTATACTATTATAAATGAAATTTTTTTAAATTTCTCATTGATGGTAATATTGAAATACAGTTGATCTTTATATATTAGCCTTGTATCCTATGACCTTGCTAAATTTACTTACTTGTTTTTCATTTATTAGATTCCATTCCAATCTGCATGACTTGTATTGTCTTGCTTTTTGAACTAATTAGGACCTGGTATTGAATAGAAGGGGAGAGAGCAGACATCCTTGCCTTGTTTGCTATTTTATGGGGAAAGCATTCTGTCTTTAACCATTAAGTATGTAATGTTAATTGTTGGTTTCTCATAAATACCCTTTCTCCGTTGAGAAAGTTCCTTTCTACATTGAGTTTGCTGAGTTTTTAATAGTGGAATGAGTGTTGCATTTTATCAAATTATGGGGACCAGAAATGTTTTAGATTTTGGATTTTTTTTTGTTTTGAAATATTTGCATATACATGATGAACTATCTTGGCGATAGCACCCCAGTCTAGACATAAAATTCTTTTATGTTTCATATATACATTATACATATAGCCTGAAGGTAATTTTATACAATATTTTAAATAATTTTGTATGTGAAACAAAACTTTGAATTATCTGTCACCAGATAATATCTGTCACCCATGTGTACAATCTGTAGTTGTTTGATATCATCATCATTCATGACTGAATTCATATGCTAACTGATAAGCAATCATTTTCATACACTTATTTTCACAAAGTAACTAAGCAGCACAGTAGCATCACCAGAATACCTGTATTAACAGTTAAACGGCCACAATAGCAGCAGGCTTTCAGTTTCCACCTATCATGCTATGTGTTAATTAAAAGGTTTCTGTACATTCCTTTTTAAAATTTAGGTGACAAGAAACATCAGAAGTAGTTGAGGGATCAGGAAGTGGATCCTCTAGGAATTAGGAGGCCTTTTGCTGGATGGCTTTTTAAAATGTTTCCTTCGCAATCATCTGCGTAATTAACAATAGTTTTTGTCTTAGAAGTCTGTTGTTGTGTTTTGATTTTAAAAACTGACATGATTTCTTGCTCAGTTATATCCTTCAATAAGCCCATCACACATTTGTACCACGTCATCCACAGGAACTTTTTCTGCAGTGTTAAAACATCATCTTCATTGCCACTATTATCATGATCACCTTGATTTAGAACCATTCAACTATCTCACCTTGGTCAATGAATGAATAACTGAAACCTAATTACTGATGTTAAAAAACTTATTTGATATTCACCTCTTCCAGTTTACTGATGGACTCTGAAGGCATACTTTTTGCATATGTGAGGAGACCAGACATCATTTTTTCTCATGTGACATACAGAATCCTTCAGGCATCACCTTGTTCATCATCATCACTGAACCTAGTCACATGCCAGAGGTTTAGCCAGGCATGTACAACTATGTCTTTACTCACTGTGTTCCAAGCATTGACAACAGTATATATGGCATCTTTCATACTAAACTTATCCTTTATTTTTTTAATTTTTTTTATTTTAAAAATGTGGGGTACAGTTCAGGGTTAGGTATATAAATGTTCCTTATGCAGGTACCCTTGTTGATGAGGTGTGCCCCCCCTCCCCTGGCAGTTTTCCTCAACTGCCAATCCCACCCCTCCCCTGGCAGTTTCGCACTATTGCCAATCCCTTTCTTATAGTATTATGATAATTGTTCAAGGTCCGCTTATGAATGAGAACATATGGTACTCTGTTCTTTGTTTCTGTGATAGATCACTGAATATGATAGACTCTAAATCCATCCAAGTTGCTGCAAAGTCCTTATGTTTGTCCTTCTTTATGACTGCATAATATTCCAATGTGTATATGTACCACGTTTTTTTTTTTTTT